ACTCTTGTACAATTAGCACCGTAACCAGTCCCCAGAATTGCCATTCTTGCTACTATTTATTTCTCTTCTTATTGCACACAAACTGACAACAAAATACGTACAGTTTCGAGAACAACAATGACTTACCATAGTCAAATTCTCGATCTACAATAGATCTATTATTACAACCACAACCTCTTTAAGTTTTGGTAAGCCACTCAAGGGGGCCGGCATGAATGGGGCTATAATTATAAATGTTGGAACCCATTTGGAGAATGTGTTTGATGAAGATGCGTTGATGAATGGTCGGAGGTTATATCGGATTAGTCTATGCTAAGCTATTATGTGGTACGCCTGTGGTTCAACCGTTTTATATCGGAAAAAGATAATTTTTAAAAGAAATATATTTTTGTTAAAATACAATACCGAAGAAAATATGCCATCATACTGGAAAAAATAGAGAAATTACACAGGATATAAATAAGTCAAATGCTAACTAACTGAACATGAGAAATCAAGACACAAAAGGGTAGATAGAGTCAAATTCACATTTTCGCCAATTAATCTTGAAATTACGTCTAGCTATACTCAATTGCAAAGTGAAAACTTTACCTTCTATCCCCAATGTCAGACTGAAGGCTCGATCTCTCTTTGCTTAAGGGAGCTGAGTGACATTTAGAGGAGGAGTGAAAAGGATAGAGCAAGTGTCGATTAGCGTTGTATTGGTGAGAAGAGCTCTTCCTTCTCTCAAAACGACATCATTTTGACATTAAAGAATCTTTTTTATTATTATCTGGGATGTTAGGTATGATTAAAAACCGGCCAGAATACAGAGAATTATATGTTCAACCTCTAAATATCGATCGACACAGTCTTTTGCCATGATTGCTTGTACCGTTCCGAATTGGACTTCAATACTGATATTCTGCGATGCAACTAGAGGTACGATACGGTTTTTTTAATTTTTGCTCTTGATTTCCCTTTTATAGAAGTGGACTGAGGGGTGTTTTGGCCTGCCACCCTTAACTTTGTCGCATCCATCTCTTTTCATTTTCATTGAAAACCGGCATAATCTCACAAACACTTGTCATCCTTTCATAGATCCACTAACCACATGTGTATAAGAATGTTTTGACACAAGTACAGTATGACAAGTTGCCAACATTCCAACGCCACATCACTCAATCACTTCTAGTTATAAGTGTCACTACCTTTGAGCTATCCACAACCAATTTTAGTTAACTCGGGCTACTAAATGTGATGTTGAGATGGGTTAACCTAAGCATTAGCTAGTGTAAACTAAATAAATTCACCAACTGCAATGGCTTATAGTGAGATAGAGTTAGCCCAGCCCTACCTATATGTCAAGTTTAGCATAATCTATCTAATAAAATATATAAAGTAGATTCATGCATTGAATTTGAAGCATTTTGAACTAGATTGTATCCCGGCCCGTTGGCCAGTTGCAATATGATAGCAATAATTAATATAGATTTCAAATTTAAATGTCAGTAATATGCTCCTCTTAAATGGGTGTCACAGTTATATGTTAATGTCATTTTAATTAACAAATAGTGGTATTCATTTTACAAAATAGCGAGGTAGTTTCTTTGTTTTTATCATTAAGCGGACCGGCTGCAATATGATAACAATAATTAACAAATGTTTCTAGCTTAAATTTCGGTAATCTTTGATCTTCTCGTATATAGTTATATTGGTTCCATGATTATATGCCAATATGTCATATGAATTAATAAATAATGGTATCAATTTTACAAAATAGCAAAGTTGATCATCCAACATCCAAATCGCTACATTGTAATCAGTGTCTTCTATGCATATTCTAGTTGAAATTAAAATGGTAGGACTCTTCTTTTTATATTGTAAGCGCATTATTTATTATTGGACCTCTTTGTATAACTATGGTACAAAAACACACGTTACATTCACTTTCAATCATCTATTATATCCAAATTCAGTTTCAAAACTTCCTCGACCAACGGATCGGACCCGACACGCTAGTGAGATTAGGTTCTAACGTCTTAAAGAATTAACACTGTGATAACTATATTCACAGCCTTTAAACTAAAAATCAATAAAATGGTTAGAATTAAACTAAGATTATATTATACAATCAGTCGCTAACCAGCTCACCTCCATCTCTCTATGCGCCATTTCCCTCTTCTCCTTCATCCATCTCTTCCATCCTATTTCTCACTCCTCGCAAATCCTGTCAAACCCGGGTGCTCAATTAGTACGATATTGTCCGCTTTGGGTCAAGCCCGCACGGTTTTACTCTTGGGTGTCTTCCCCAAAAGGCCTCGTACTAATTGGGCTAGGTGGACACTATATACAAGGGTTTCTTTCCTTGTATCTCCGATGTGGTACTGAACTATCTGCCACTCTCAATTGGTTAGTCCGAACGACATGACAAAGAATTCTTAGTGGCCATACCAGGTCTGGAAATCCGTCTGTGGTACTGAACTATCTGCCACTCTCAATTGACAATACCCTGACCTCAGATCAATCTTTGAGAACACCCTCGCTCCTTGTAGCTTATCGAAGAGATCATCTATCAGTGGCAAAGGATAATGGTTCTTGATGATAGCCCTGTTTAGCTTCCTATAGTCGATACAGAACCTCATACTACCATCCTTCTTCTTTACAAAAAACACTGGTGCTTCCCAAGGTGACACACTTGGACCAATGAAGCCCTTATCCAATAATTCCTCCAATTGCTCCTTTAGCTGCTTCAACTCCACTAGCGCCATGCGATATGGATGAATTGATATGGGTGTTGTACCAAGAACCACTGTTGTGTCAAACTCCACCTCTCAATATGACGGTAAACTACGGAGATCCTATGGGGTACTCCCTCTAGCTTCTATTCTTCTACTACTTTGATGTGAACTAGATAGGCTTCACATCCTTCTTGTATCATAGAGAATGCCTTGACTGCGAAGATTAAGCATCCAGGAATAAGCTTTTTAGTCCCTTTGAAAAGTGTTGTGCCCATTCCTTCTATCTCCAGGCTAGCCTCCTTCTTATAAAAATCCACCTTCGCTCTATTCTTGAATAGTCAATCCATACCCAAGATCATCCAAACTCTCGAAGGGTAGTAAAATCAGACTTACCTCAAATTCGTGCCCCGCCATAGTGATAAGGCAAGCCCGAATGACCGAGTATACTATTAGGGTATCCCTTACTGGGTTCTTACCCCTATGTCATGCCCCAACCTCACAGGTGGGATCCCTAGGGTTCTAGCAAACTTGGTAGAAATGAAAGAGTGTGTGGAACCGATTCGAACAATACAAAAGCTAGCTAATGGTAAAGTGAGATCATACCAGCCACCACATCGGGTGTTGCGTCAACTTCTTCTCTCCTCATGGCAAACAATTTTGGTTGCCCAGCCGCTTGAGGTCCTTACCCTTGATTTCGTCATTGCGATTGAACCGCCCTGCATTGCCTTAATGCAACCATTTTTTCGTTGAACGCTTGGATTTCCTTGATCGTCCTAGGCAGAGTCAGGTTGAGTATGGCTTCTATCTACTTCGATTTGCTTCAATCCTCTAGTAGTGATCATAAATCCCAAGAATTTGCCCGCCTTTTCCCCAAACACGCACTTGAGCGGGTTTAAACAGAGGCTTTCTTTCCTCATATGGTTGAACGTTTCTCTCAAGTCTTCAAGGTGGTCTCCTGTCTTCCTACTCTTCACGAGGACATCATCTATGTATGCCTCTACCGCTCTACATTCCTTCCCAGTTAGATTTTGGAGACCACATCTATCATTCGCTTGTATGTGGCTCCTGTGTTTTTCAACCCAAACGACATAAACGTGTAGCGGAAGTTTCCCATGTATATTATAAAGGAGGTTTTCTTTTGGTCTTTTTCGGACAACCGTATTTGATTATATCCAGAAAGCTCAAGATTTCGTGATTGGTCGTAGCGTCAATTAGTTGATCAATCCACGGAAGCGGATATACGTCTTTGGGACAAGCCGCATTGAGATTCATGAAGTCGATACACATTCTTCCACAATCCCGATTTTTTGCAGCTAAAACCGGGTTTGCTAGCCAGGTGGGGTACCTGAATTTCCTGATGAAACCAGCTTTCAGCAGCCACCTTACTTCCTCTTCTAAATCCATATGCTTTTCACGGGTTTCGCTTTACTCTTGATCGATAGGTGATGTTCGCGGAGCTCTCTTGAGACGCCTGACATATATTCCGAACTCCATGTAAAGAGGTCTTTGTATTCTTTGAGAAGCATCAAGAGCTTCCTCTTATGGGAGATGGGATGACCCAAAAAAATTAACGAAAATTAAATTAAAAAGAAACATGCAAGCCGGTTTGACCGACATACAAACGGTCATTTGCCACTTTCGATCGGCGGCGCAAATGAAATCGAAATTCGTTTTCTCCGTCGGTCAAACGCGGTCGAAGACCGTTTGTCTGCACTGGCGGATCCAGGGGGTGGCCACCCCGGGCCCCGGCCCAGCCCTCCCTTGGATCCAAAACTAGTATAGTACTTATAAATTTTTCGTTTTAAGATATTCGGACTGGTGTCAATTTATAATAAGATTGTGTTTAATTTGAAAAATGATTCAGATGAACATATTCAAACCACAACTCTTAATTCAGCCTAGAAATTCTAGGCTCAATGATTTTCTTCTAAAGAAAAACAATTAACTTAAATTTCTTAAAGTCTAAAACGTAAAAGAGAAATAGAAATATGAGGTTTGTTCCCTCTCAAAATTACTAGAGCAATTGGTGAAAATAGGGTTGGACACTCAATACAAATTGATTAGTCAATTGATTTGTACAGTGTTGACGTTGCTCGTTTCAACAACTACTACGGAGAGAACCTTTTCAACCATGAAACATGTGAAAACTTATTTGCCCAACAAGATGAGCGATGAATTTCTCGGTGATTGCTTAACTATTTCATTTGAAAGAGAGTATACTATTGGTATCGATGTAGACTCTATTATTGATGAATTTGCTATATTAATATACAGTCGTGTAAAATTGACATTGTCGCCCACTTCCTCATCTCCAGCTCCCTCGACGTCATCAGCAGAAGAGCCACCCTCATCCAATGGAAACGGGTCCGAGTCGGAAGGCTCGTTATCCGTACCAAGAGACAAGAAGTAGTCATCCATAGCCTGCCAAACCTCCGGGGTGTCCCACTTCATGTCGGGGTTATCAGAGCGAACCTTTTTACGAATGCCAATGAAGGCCCTCTTCTTCACTCCAATCAGAAGATCTCGCTGCCAATCGCGGAACTCTGCTGACGACAAATGGGCATCCACAGCGTCATCACGCTCCTTGGCCAACTTTTTCTTGAACTCCTCCTGCAAACAACGATTTACGCATTCAGCTCGTGACAAAGGGTGGTAGCAAAAAAGGAAGAGGCGCCACCCCTCGAGGGAACAAGAAAAATTACCTACTGGCGCCCCCTAGCTGCGGACATAGTCTGCAACTCCTTCTCCAAATCATCGATTCGCTTCGCCCGAAGTGCCAACTCCTTCTCTTTCTCTTCACGAGCAGAAACACTATCAGCAGCCAAGGCGTCGGAAAGCTGTTGCTTCACCAACGCCAACTCCTCCCCCAAGCGAGAGTTGACATCTTGCAGAGTTGTCTTATCGGTCTTCAACTGAGAAGCCAATAAGTAATTCTTGTGGGCGCGCTCCCGATTCTCCGTACCCTTGTCGGAGAGTGCAATCACATCAAGCATCGCCTAAGCAAGAAGCCATGTCGTTAGTAGCAGAGAAAGCATTCTCAACTAGCAATAAGTATATAAGAACATACCTGGAACAGATGCTGGCACGCAGAACCTGCCGGAGAGGTACCCTCGTCGAGGGGGAGCTTCAAAAAATTCTTCAACTCTACGGCAGAAGTGAAGGCGCTGGGAGCGTTGAGAGCAGCAGAAGGAGAAATCGGGACAAGTTCCTTGGGCTTCACGGCGCGCCGAGAGCGGGGAGGCGCCAGGATCTCGTCAATACCTCCGAGAGCAGGTTTCTTCTTCTTCTTGGGCACATCAGCAGGAGAGCCGGCAGAAGCAGGGCGCTTTCCCGAAGCTTTCTCAGGGAGGGGATCGCGCGGATTCAGAGGAAGGAACAACTGGGGAGAAGATGCATCCTCAGGGGCAGTGAGCGCCCGGTCCGGCGGGGAAGGCACTCGCCCGGCAGAGGCGCTAGGCGCATTCCGCGATCCAACTCCGGAAGTGCCCGACGCCTTCTTCGTCATCTTCACCTAACTGGAGTAGTCGAAATCTGCAAAAAGTAGAGTTATGCAAATAGCATAAGTAAAAGAGTTGAAATAAAAATCGTTATTAATGAAATATACCATGATCGTAGAGCTCTCCCAACGCGGCGCCCTTTCCCCTTTCCTCTTAAGATCCACAGGGGGCGCTCGAAGAATGTGATGCTTCTGTTCACGCTCAGGCTTCTCTAGAGAAAAGTCATTGGCCACTCCTCCACCGAACCCTCACGCCACAAGGTAGAGAGGGGCGCCTCCGTCAAAGCATGCCAAGTGCCACTACGCGGCTTAAGGAAAAAATAGGAGCAATACCATTTGCTGGGAAGCTTGGGTGAACCTTTGCAAACCCGGCCTTGGTACTTGCTGTCACGCTTTAAGGGTGACCAGCCATGTTTGCCCCGCTCTAAACTATATATACTCCGGAAGATGGAGAAAGAAGGGGTGTAGCCTAGGCGCTTACAGATAAGGCGAAATGCGCAAGTATGAAAAATAAGTGAGGGGGACAAGAAACTAATGGGACACCCAACCATCTCCAAGATGCCCGATAGAATAGGGTCAAGAGGGAACTTCAGGCCACACTTCAGATATTCTGAATAAATCGCAAACCAGCCCTCAGGGTAGCTACCGACACGCCCATTGCGATCAGGAAGCGCATACTCCCAATCTGTGGGATACCCCAACCCACGAAGATAGGTCAGAACCCGATGTCTCTGGATGCTGGGACGCTGATCGGGGCCGAGAAGACGAACAGAAGGGGGAGCCGCCTGCCCACCCCACATACCTCGCCACAGCAGTAGGCAGTAATCCAAATCATCAGTGGCCCTAAAATTGCCCGTGGCGGGCTCAAGCTCTACGCTTGACATGTCGCCCTCAGAAAGCAACTCTGCCTGTGTTCCTGACTTATCATCCTCAGCATCATCAATTGCCTCGGCAAGCCGCCACTTAGCTTTTCTATACACTGCCCAATCAACTAACATTCCCTAAAGACCAGTGCTAACATGAAAAATCTAAGAATGAAAAGTAAGTGTTACTTACCCAGCTTTCTGACTTTGCTCGAGGAAGCCTTAGTCTTCCCTTTAGAAGGAGCGGAGGCGCCACCCACAAAAGCAGAGGGGCGCGAATTATTAGATGCCATGAGTGCAAGGTGCGTAGAGAAGCAAGTTTTGGAAGAGAAACGGTTGCAACGCCGCAGCCGGTACCGCGCAGGCAAAAAACCGCTATCGCAACCCGTAACCGCTAGGAGGAAGGCGCCCAAAGACGCCTTGAAGCAGTTGAGGCTGCATAATAAACAAACCAAGTGTCAAAAGTGGTGAGCAAGGTAACGTGCTTAGCAAACACAAGAGATAGTAAAAGTACGAAGGGTGGCGCCCGCCAATGGCAACAGTTATATGAAGAAGAGGAGGCGCTCCCCAATTAGAAACAATGCCAAAGCAAATCCGACAGGAGGCGCCCCCAATTGGAAGCGCCTAGCAAAGGAACCAAAGCTTCTAACAAAGAGTCACTTGTGCGTGTGGCGAAAAAGGGGCACTTACTTTTTCAACGAGAGAACTGCTCCTAAACGAAGAAGTCGGAGCGAAGGGTGGCGCCTCGGAAACTAGGTCGGCGCCTGCAAAAAAATCGAAATAGGGTTAGCAATTTCGCGAAGGGTAAATAAAGAGAGAGCAGGCGCAGCGCCTCCAAATTGGAGGAAGATAGAGGAAAGCGCCTGCCGTCAAGAAGCAATAATAAAAAGAAGGCGCAAGGCGCCTTTCCTCCTTTGAAGGCGCCTACCCACAAACCCCGATCGGATTATCAAAAGAAATAATCGAGGACGCCTACCTACAAGCCCTAATCAGATTAGCAAAAGGAATAATCGAAGGCGCCTACCTACAAACCCTAATCGGATCATCAAAAGGAGTAATCGAAGGCGCCTCCTTTTAATTCAAGGTATACACAGGAGGCACCACCGTTCAATTCAAAGAGCACGCACCTAAAAGAAGAATGGCGACCAACAGGACAGACGGGGCGATCAGGGCGTCGCGAAGAGGGGAAGAGGCGCCTACTGAAGCGAGCGGAGGAGGAAGGTAGCTAACCCGATCGACGCGGATGAAGGGGGAGAGGCGCCTTCCAAACGAACGAGGTGAGGCGTTGCGGGGCGCCGGCGGGAAGGGAAGAGGCGCCTTCGATTGACGGGGCGCCGAAGAGGGGAGAAGAGGGTGGCACGAGGCAGATGGAGCGAGGATCTTGATGTGGAGGAGGCGTCCGCCAAACAAACAGAGTGAGGCGGTGCGAAGCGCCGGGGTGAAGGGAGGAGGCGCCTTCGTGAAGTAGGGCGCCGAGGAGGAGAAGAGGGCGGCACAAGTGGAGGCGCCAATGGGGGAAGGCTGCCGAAAAATGGAGAAAAAGAGAGAAGGGAGTGTGAAATAGAGAGTGGGAAGGGTTTAAATAGGGAGGAGGGCGCACGGTTCCCAAAGCGGGCTGCCCCATGGCCCAACACCCTATCACCTCCTTTCTACTTAAACCACCACCCCTAAGCTTAAGAGTGGGCTTGGCCCAGAGCCACGACTAGCAGCCTGTAGTAGGTGGCGTTTTCACCACCACCTCCCCCACCAATATAGATTCTCTTTCTCTTCTTTTTTTTCATAGCGGTTTTCATTTCTTCTTTTTATTTTTTAGAATTTCTTCTTCTTATTTTTTCTAGCTTTTTATTCTTATTTTATTTTTATAATTCTTTGGTATTTTTCCATCAAAAAGCACACTTGTTTGGCAATACCGCAGTAGTTACGCCATCGCCAAAAGGGGCAATTGATAGGGTATCCTAGTAACTAAGGAGGCAAAACCCTAGCTAATGATATGAAGAAGGAAAGAAGACAAGAGCAAAAAGACAAGGCTGGGAGACAAGAGACAAGGCCAGGCACCTGACATCAGCAAGGACAAGGGGCAGGGGGACACCCTCTGTCAAAAAGGATTATGTACAGTGTCAGAAAGTCTGAGGCGCCCGACCACAGCATTTATGGCGTGGCAGGCGCCCAGACCACGACCTAACCCTCAAATGTGTATAAATAGGAGTTCTCTCCTCATAAATGGCAATCGATCTACTCTTGCTCTAACTTCTCTCTACTTTCTCTCTCTATATACTTCTTCTCTTCTTCTACTTCAGACGAGGAGGGGCGCCTACCCCCTCAAGGTCATGGTTGACACCCCTAACCCCTTGGACCCGAGCGACCCCCAGTCGATCGGGCTCAAACAATAGAAAAATTAGAGTTATTTTTCTTTTATGATATTTAAATTTTTAATAAAATTCGGCCCAGTGATCTACTATTTCTTGGATCCGTCGCTGTTTGTCCGTCGCTCAAACCTTCCGGCTTCTTCGTTTTCGTACCTTCTTCTCTAGGGGCAAGCTCCAGAGGAATCGATGACGAGTTGATGCAGGGGAATCAAATTCAAGGGACGGCGAGCAGCGATTGAGAAACGGCGGTGGGAGTCTTCCTCTCCAGTCGCCCGATTGTCTTCTTCCTCTCCAACTCTAGGTGGACGAATTTCAACGAGTAGAGAAGGCTGGTGGCGGGTTGTTGCATAGGAGCTGACGACGAGCTCGAGAGGAGTCAACGGCCGACATCAGAGAATCAGGTGGCGATTGAGAATGGGGAGAGGAGAGTGGCGGATTAATGGTTGTTTATCTTGTTTTGAACTTGAACTTTAATTAGGAACAAATACGGGGTAATTGGCATAAAAGGTCACAAACCTATTCACTTTGTACAAAACGGTCACAAACCTTTCATTTTGCACGTTTCAGTAACATATGTTTGAGAAAAAAACGAAATAGTCATTCCGTCCATCTCCATCCAAAAATCCGTTAATCTCATCTAGTCAGCACACCACATCAATTAAAATATTAATAAAAAAATTAATGACCAAACCCAAATAAACCGACCGCCCAACCAAATACCCTAATTCTATAGCAACCAAAATCATGGAGACTCTGCATTTTGGCCCTCAGAATCGCTGCCTCATAAATCTCTCATCGCGTCGCCAACGGAGGTTTGCTTCCCTGGTCGCGCCGCCGCACTGAAGCAAACACCACCACTTTTCCCTCTAGTTTCAGTAAGAAATATACTCATCAATCATTAAGAAAGAAAAGATAACCCACATAGCTTCTTTCCTAATGTAATTAGTGCAATGGAATTAAACCCAGAAGAGAGGCTTGGCATTTAAGACGACTAAAACTCAAGGTAAGGAGAAGAAAGGTGGGTAGTTGCAGCTTACTCATCGTTATAGTACTAGACTACGGAGTTCCCTTCACTACTCCCTCTATCTATGCCCACCAGCCGGCTCCGTTGATTCAGTTGCCCAAACCCATGTCTTATTTTGTCCTGCAGGAATCATCGCCCACATTCTCGACCGGCTCACCAACGCCGCCGATCTAGTTCGGTGCATCCACGTCTCAAAGCAATGGCTCTTCGTAGTCAATATCCCTGACTTCATGCAACGCCATCTGTAGCGCTCCAAAGCCGCAATCTCCAACGTCTGGCTCTTCCTCTGAAACGAAGATTGCTCTCTCTTCTACGCAACCGATGCCGCCGCCGACCCTCCCGATTCGCCCCCACCCAAAACTCCCCACCCATCCCGAGGGCGCCCTCTTGCTGGGTTCTTGTCGTGGCTTGGTCTGCTTTTGCGTCAATGGTCAGCGAGACCTCATCATTCTAAACCCTAGAACAGGGGAGACATGCTAGATCTGCGATTACTTCCTTCCCGAGTTCCCCCAACACCCCTGCCCCGCCATTAATTCATACATAAGGAAGTTTGACGCAGTGATGTTTGTTGATTCATCTACGGATAGCCGTCGAGGCAAAGATGTAGAGGTATATGGTGGGCTTGCGACACTTGCACTGGGCGGGTACGACGAATTGTCGGAGGATTACAAAGTGGTCAGGATTGGAGGACTTGTCCGCGTCGAATCTCGCAAGTTCCGGCCTGAAATCTACAGTGTACGTGTGAGCCAAATCGTGCATGATCATCAATCCGGCCGACCTTCTGTACCCATGGTTTGCTTCAGGGCGGCGAACCTCCATTGGATTCGGCCGGCGGCGCGACCCGGTGAAGCTAGTGAAAAAGGAGAGAGTCTCCGAGATCTCGGTTGGATAGAATTAGGAATTTTGGTTGAGCGGTCCGGTTCATTTGGTTTGGTCATTTAATTTTTTATTAATATTATAAGTGATGTGGCGTGCTGACTGGACGAGACTAACGGATTTTTGGATGGAGATGGACGGAATGACCATTTCGTTTTTCTCTCAAATGTATGTTACTGAAACGTGCAAAATGAAAGGTTTGTGACCGTTTTGTACAAAGTGAATAGGTTTGTGACCTTTTATGCTAATTACCCAACAAATACGTAATATGTAATTACATCATCTACGTATTAAAGTTAGGACGATTGTTAATAATTTTAAGGATAATGTCTATTTTTTATCCAAATTTTTTTCTGATTCTTTTATATTAGTCAAATCTATCGAAATACTAAGAATTAGCCAAATGTTAACTTCCAGTTAGCAATTTTATTAGTAATATTGACTTGACAACATGATATTGACTTGAAAACGACACATCAACATTCCAAAATTTAAATATTTTAACTAAGAAAAAAGTTACAAAAATATTAACGATAAAGTAAAAATGACTAATATTTTGATATATTACAAAACATTTGATTAATTTATAGCATTTTAATAGATTTGGATAATATAAAAGAATTTAATAAAAAAATTGTATAAAAAATAGAGGTTACCATAATTTTAAAACTAGAAAATAAACAGAGGAAAACCCTCCATCTTTTCAAACAGTCGGCCCAGCTCCTTGAGATCCCTTTATTTTTGCTGCAAATTGTTTGTCATAAGTTAGAAGATCCGAGGGTTCATCTGGGGGAGCTCCGAGCAGGGGAAGAAGATTCATCTTGTAGACTGGGATACTCTGTGTAGATCGAAGGGGGATGGGGGGCTGGGTCTTCGGAACGCCACCAGGATGAATGAAGCGTTTATGCTAAAGATTGCATGGAGGCTATTAACTGAGCCGGAGAGTCTCTGGGCTCGCGTGATTAATGCTAAGTATCTTCGTCGTACCACCGAGGGCTGGATCCCCCGGACGGCGGGCAGATTGTCAAATTTATGGAGGGGTGTTCTGCAAGTGCTCCATCTACTGCCCAAGGGGATTATGTGGAATGTGAGGAATGTTATGGGTACTCGGTTTTGGAAGGATGTTTGGCTGTATGATGGTCCCCCTCTTATTGATATTGCCCATGATCTTCCCCCTGAAGCCTCTAATATTTCAGTTGCCGAGATGGTGCTTAATGGTAGCTGGAATTTGGATTATGCGCGAATCTTCCTGCTGGAAGCGGCTGTCCTGCAACTCCAGTTGCACCCGGTTCCTTTTGAAGTGGAGGCAGATGTCCCTTGTTCGAAGCTCTCGGCCAATGGGCAGTTCACCATGACCTCTGCGTATGAGCTAACGAAGGATGGGGAAAATGAGAATCATCATCAGGCAGTGTGGCGGGCGATTTGGAAAATAGAAGGGCCCCAGAGACTAAGGCCTTTCTTCTGGTTAGTACTCCACCATAGACTGCTTACAAATGCCGAACGGCGTCGTCGTCACCTGGCCCAGTCCAATGCTTGCCCACTGTGTGGAGGGGGTCCGGAAACGACGGATCATGTTCTTAGAGAATGTTCGTATGCGAGGTCGGCTTGGTCGGAGATCCTCTTAGACGAACCAGATAGCACCTTCTTCGACTTATCGTTGGAACAGTGGGTTATGCACTACTTATCCGGCCGAAGCAAGGTAATTGATCCTACCCTCTTTGCGATCACTTGCTGGAGCTTATGGAAGAGCAGGAACAGCTGGGTATTCGAGAAGAAGCTCGCCTCAACGCAACAAATCATGGCGCAAGTTGGAATTTTAAGGCGGCAAGTGGAGTTGGCCCAAGCAGCATACATCCGAGGCCTAGTGGGGGCACCTGAGCGCAGCACACGTTTGATCAGCTGGCAAAGGCCGCCGAGCAATTGGTTATGTCTAAACACCGATGGCTCGGTGGTGGGAGCTCAGGGGAGTACGGCGGTAGGGGGGGTGATCAGGGACGAAGTGGGACGATTTGTGAGGGCATTCTCAGCTAACCTGGGGGCGGGATCCATCACTTATGCCGAACTTGCAGGAATCGCTTTTGGTCTCCGATTAGCCTGGGACGAGGGATGCCGCAAGGTGAGGGTTCAGACAGACTCGGCCACAGCAGCCCAGCTCATCCAGGAGGCAACACCAGGCCACATTCATTTTGTTCAGGTGGCCACGATCCGAGAGCTCCTAGCTAGAGAGTGGGAGGTGCAGATAGACCATGTTTTTCGTGAGGGTAACGTTGTTGCGGATTACCTTGCTTCAGTCGGTAATAGCTTAGCATTGGCGGATCCAGGGGGTGGCCACCCCGGGCCCCGGCCCAGCCCTCCTCTGGATCCGGTATTAGTATAGTCCTTATAAAATTTCGATTTTAGGCACTCAGTCTAGTGTTATTTTATAATAAGATTGTGTATAACTAGAAAAATGATTCAGATGAACATATTTAAATCACTACTTTAAATTTAGTTTAGAAATTCTTGCCCCCAAATTGATTAGTCGATTGATTTGTCTAGTGTTGACGCTGCTCGTTTCAACAGCTACTACGAAGAGAACCTTTTCAACAATGAAACATGTGAAAATTGATTTGCGCAAAAAATAAGCGATGAATTTCTTGCCGATTGCTCAAGTATTTTTATTTGAAACAGTGTATACTATTGGTATAGATGTGGACTCCATTATTGATGCATTCGCTAAATTAAAATATCGTCGTGTACAATTGACATTGTAAAAACAAAACTATAATCATTAGATTTATTTTACGGTTCTAATTTTCTAATGAAATGCGGCCCAGTGCTCTTTTGTGTTCTGGATCCGCCGCTGTAGCTTAGCAGTGGGGGTTCATGTGTTTGAGAATCCCAGTCCGTTGTTAAACCACTGGTTGTACTTTGATCTTTTGAAGGTTCAAACACCTCGTTCAGTTATTATTTAAGGGTTTGAGCACCCCTTAGCGCTCTGGTTTCCAACAAAAAAAAAGAATTTAGAACTTAGATATCTCTTCCTCTCCCTGTGTCTGGCCAAAGTGAAGAACATAAAGTCTTATCCATTTTATTCTAATCTCTGGAATTTTTTTCTTCCCCTTGTCTCCCCCGACTTTTTTCTCCCTCTCCGCAGATAATGCAGTATCATTCTGCCTGAACCCTAATTCAGTATTCACTCATTACTGGGTACTTTTTGGACTCCTGAGCGGACCCCTCCATCTTTCTCAGAGCCTTTTCTGCTACTAGATGTTCGAGGAGTAGAATAATTAGCAGTGTCCTGTTACCCTTACTTTTTCTTTGCTGTTATTATCAGTTTGGAGTGAGTCGGGTGAGCGACGAGCTCGATTATCCGGCGAGATAGGCTGCGTCCGATTATTAGATCTGAGAGTTGTTGGGTTCTCCACGTGACCGTTTCTGTTGGTCGCTCTGGTTGGTGAATTTGGTGGCGAAGGTGGTCCGTGGAGCTTTATCTTCCATTCATCTGTTCGACTCGTTGGATAGTGTATTGGCTGGAATTGGTTGATCATGGACCACGTGATTGCCTCCAAATTTAAGCTGGGCCGGAAGATCGGGAGCGGATCTTTTGGTGAACTATACCTTGGTATGCTATTTTAGGGGTTTCTTCAGCAGCATTTTCTCTTCTCATCATCTTTTTTTGTTTTTGTTTCATCTTCTTACTCCCAATAAGTGCTTCAGATTTTACTGTTTGGAGGTTTTGTTAGTTTACTTACAGCTTGGCTTGTCTACTTGGTTTCAGGTGTTAACATACAGAGTGGAGAAGAAGTTGCAGTGAAGTTGGTATGTCTGGTGACCTTAATACTTTCATGCTACTTATTTTTTCCTTCCTCATACTACTTTGGTATAACCCGTGTTTGGGCCTTGAATTGAGCTTGCTTTGTGGGTGATGTTTGAGTTGCTAACCTCTGGCTAAATAGGAAATGTGGTAGTTATCCTTGCTCATTCAGAAGAGAATGAGCTTCTCCAATGCGTGCCTGATATTTATAGTTAATAAAGATAAGGAGCACTTCTGCATGATGATGGCCTGATGTTTCTCTTTGACTCTTTGGTTTGTCGTGAGAGTACCAGTAGATGCTAGTAGGATGGCTCTTATAACTATGGTTTGATTGGAGACTTGAAGAATTAGAGCGGACACCCTGAATCCATTAACTTTCCATGGCAAAGATGACCGGAAGAATGAATAGTCAAGTTTGTAGGAGACTCTTTTGTTTAAACACAAAAATTGTGTATGAATTCTTCCAGTTAGAGGCTTTTTCAGCAGAAAGGCGTGGTTTTTTTGTATCTCATTTTTGTAGTCAGTATGTGTAACCACTTGTGACGAATGGCTCTTTTGTTTCGTTCCCTCGAGTTTCTCTTCATCCTTGTTGTTAGTCAAAGCAAGTCCACATGTACTTTTATTTTGTGATTATAAGTATTATTGTGGTTCCCCAGGAGTCTGCGAAGACAAAGACCCCTCAACTTCATTATGAGTCAAAGTTGTACATGCTCCTTCAAGGAGGAAGTAAGCTTCTGTTTACAACCTCTTTTGACATAACTTATTGCATTGTGACTGATATTTGTTAGTTGATCTCTCATTTCTTGTTTATCTTTTGAAGCTGGCATTCCTCACCTCAAATGGTTTGGAGTGGAGGGGGAGTACAATGTCATGGTTATTGACCTCTTGGGACCAAGTCTAGAAGACTTGTTTAACTATTGCAATCGCAAATTGACTCTGAAAACAGTTTTGATGCTTGCGGATCAACTTGTAAGTTTCGATACTTGGTCATTTCAATATGACAAGTCTTACGGGTTAAGTCCTTTAATTTACTGAAATTTTTTTTTTTTTTTTGCTGTTTGCCTTTGCAGATAAACCGAGTTGAATACTTGCACCAAAGAGGTTTTCTTCACCGTGATATAAAGCCTGACAATTTCTTGATGGGCTTGGGACGCAAGGCCAATCAGGTGGGATTTCGTGTTTGGTGTTGCTCCATGAACTTTGTATCCATTTTTTTTATTTTTTTTGTTTTTTTGTGGGTGACTTGCACTTGTTTGAGGTTTAGTAAAATAGTATTGGATTCAATATGAATGTACCTAGATGTCTCAACTGTTTTTACTTGACATTTCCTTCGTGATTATCCGATGCAGGTCTATATCATTGACTATGGCCTTGCCAAAAAGTACAGGGATCTTCAAACACACAAGCACATACCATACAGGTAACTCCTGCTGCAGAAATTCATAGGTGTAATATAACTATTTTTAATTGCTTTTTATGGTTAGTATTTATTTTCCATTTGCCTTGCGTTTATTCTCCTCAATCCCTGCATATCTTTACGGTTGGTTGACTTGGTTTCATGTAATATATGACATGAAAAAGCTTGGCATTGGAGTTCAGAGTAACGAAGCTCTAAGAGTTCTTTGATTTAAGTTATTTTTCTCAAGTATGGGAGAGAAGTCTAACTTAACAATATATTGATTTTCTGAGAAAATGAAGCTAAGTTTCACTGAACAAGTCTTCACGCAGTTCTGGTATAGTTGGAATTTTAGTGGACCTTAGTCTGATTTCCCATGTTATTAGGAATCCAAACTTGCTACAACTAGTGTTCTCTTGTGCCATGTTAATTTTAAAGTTGCTAGTGGTGGTGGTATTGATTTTCAGTGAGCCTATACCATTCTTAAGTGAACAGTCATATGAAATTGCATTGCTCCAAGTTGGCTTTATTTTCTTTGCTCATTTCTGTGTGGTCATGAATTCGTCAATCTTATCACTAATAGTGAATCCTAACCCCGTTTCCTTTCATCTGTTGCAGGGAAAATAAGAATCTGACTGGCACTGCTCGTTATGCTAGTGTTAATACTCATCTTGGAGTTGGTAAGTTAACCTAACCTTCATCCAATATTTGCCTTCTGTTAACAGCATTTAGCTTTACACAAAATCTAATCCTCTTTCCGGATTTCAGAGCAAAGCAGAAGAGATGATTTAGAGTCTCTTGGATATGTTCTCATGTATTTCCTTCGGGGAAGGTAGACTACCTCACTGACTTGCTGAAGCACTTTCTTTCTGTGGCTAGTACAATGCTGACTTTGTGCTTCGGTGATTTGCTTCTTCAGTCTTCCATGGCAGGGGCTGAAAGCAGGCACTAAGAAGCAGAAGTATGACAAAATCAGTGAGAAGAAGATGCTTACTCCGATAGAGGTATGGTCGAGCACATTCATTTTACATCAAATTAGAAACTTAAGACGCATAACTTGTGAAACTACTGGTACACTAGGAGATAATTTATGTATTCAATTGTGGTGGAATGTGCATGTCGGTACGTCTGTATGCTAAATGCTATCATTGTTGTTTGACAGGTCCTTTGCAAAAGCTATCCCTCTGAGTTCACGTCGTATTTCCATTATTGTCGGTCATTGCGGTTCGAAGACAAGCCTGATTATTCATACTTGAAAAGGCTTTTTAGGGACTTGTTTATTCGAGAAGGTTAGTGTTGTACTAGCTTGTGTCTTGTTCTTTTACTGGTCTGATTGGGCTGGGCAAAAGGTTGAATTGACATCAATGATTCAGGGTATCAGTTTGATTATGTGTTTGATTGGACCATCTTGAAGTACCCACAAATCGGCTCCAGTTCTAGGCAACGAGTGAGTGTTCCTTAATTTTCTGGATGTGCTTTTTTAAGGCGGAATGAAGTAAATGATGTTTGTCTTACTGTCTCCTTTCCCAACAGCCAAGTGTCAAACCTGCTATAAACGCTGGAACATCAGCAGAAAGAGTAGAGCAGCAGCCTTCAGGTATGGTCTGTTAAAGATAACCCCCTGAGCAGAAGTTGCTTGATCTTATTAGCTATCAATTAATGGTCATTTGATTGTTTTGATTGTGTAGTTCGAGAGATTCGAGATAGGTTGTCTGGTGTAGCTGAGTTATTTGTGAGGAGGACTAGCTCTGGACAAGTAACCCGTGGGGATCAGTCGCGGCACAGGTCTTCAGATGATGTGCCTTCATCTAAAGATGTGGTGAGTAAGTAGTGGTAGTGAAATTTTGGACCCAATTAGGATTTTACATACAGGCAGAAAGGGTGATTCTGCGGATGGCATTAAAGTTTAATGGGTGTCCTTGTTTTCCTTTTGTCAATTTTAGTATAATACGAGAAGAAAGTTTGTTTGGTTGGTTTTTAAAAAAAGCGGGTTTATGATATATGCATTATGTTTTGGGTTTAGTTATAAGAAAACCAAATGATTGTGATGTTTGATAGTTTCTTTAATAATAAAGAATGACTTAAAAATTACTATTATAGATACCGCTGAAAGAGTATTTTATTTCAAATGGAGAAGTTGGAAATGAGATTTTATTCGGAAGGTGGCTTTTTTAGACTTGTAATTTGTGAGACTGTATATGTATACTTCTTTGGAAAAGTTTGACTGGAAAATTGTGTTTGGTTTAACTTTAGGGCCAACTATTTTTTTCCTACCTCACTTGTGTAGCCAGAAAACAAACACACCCAATATGTTGATCTTTCTCTTTCTGAACATTTTGTCTTCAGCGCACTGATTCCGACAGACCACGCTCCTCATCTCGAACCGGTAGCACATCAAAGAGGGCTTTTGTGTCAAGTAGTAGGCCGAGCTCGTCTGGTGAGCCTATCGATAGTCGAACAAGCAGATTGATCTCTTCCAGCAGCGGTCGGATGTCAACCACCCAAAGGCTTCAACCTGGGTTCGAGTCCAAGTCATCATCGTTCACTCGTGCGACTGCCTCGAGAGGTGCTCGTGATGACACGCTTAGGAGCTTGGAGCTCCTTTCCATCGGGACAGGGAAGCGAAAATAAGGTTAGTCGAATCCAATCAGTGGAAAAAAAGGATCTCAAAATACGCTCCTTGTCTTAGGGTTTGGCAGTCTGAGGGACACTATTAAGTATTAACGGGAGTTCTGTGTCAAGCCATTTCACTCTGTATATGTGTATGCATTCTTGCGTTATCTTCACAGCCGCCAAGCCACTGCTGAAGCAAACGCATTGGTTGATGATGCCTTCTAGTTCTATGCTGCTCCTTTCAGGCCACCTGCTGGAGATCTCTTTCTTCTTCTTTTAGTTCTCTTTTACTTCATGAAGCAGATGAATGGTCCGCGACATGTCAGAATTGTTTATACGACGAGAGATGAGTGTAGCTTGTAATCAATTACTATCTACCCATTGTTGTTCCTGAAGGTTTCTTCTCATTGGGAAACAGAGAGACGTTGCTGCTGACAATAATATGACTATATAAGCTACCTATATTACGATTTACGATGACGTGCATCGTCATAATGTTCAACTTGGTTCAAATTATGAAATCGAATCGACTCGTCTGTTTCGCCCTTGCTGACTATCTGTTATTCTCTGTAAGTTGTTCTATGCTACACATGCATAATCGAGTGGCATATTGGTTCGATTGGTGCAAAGTTTGAGTGCACTAGAAGCCGTTGAAATTAGTAAATAAAATTACTCATCAAGGATAGAGAGGCAAATTCCTCCAACACATAAATCCAATCGATGGACAAACATGGAATTTGAGGTGTATTAACAAAGATTCACGTAAAGTGTGTTAAAATTGTCAACCATGTTAATTTTCTAACCAGAGGTTGTTTAATACTATATATCTACAATTGGGTTGGTGTTTCACAAATCGATGAGAGTGATTAAATGTGACATGTTTCAGTAATTCGAGTAATTAAAATTAATATTAATTTTTTCTAGTAACTAAACATGATATAATTTAGTAATCTCAGTAACCAGATATGACATTTACCGAAATAAGAATGAAAATGATTTAGAAAAACTCACCAAATTAGTAAATTACCCGTTGCCATTCTGATATTTATGACACCGTGCAGCTTCACTTCGATAGCCAGCCTCTACACTGTTAATTTCGAAACTCCCTGTCATAACTCGGGGTAAAATACCTTGGGTACCACTTAAGTTTGAGAATTGTGGCAGACATACCACTTAAGTTTGAATAGGGCGTCGGGTACCACTGAACTCTATTATCTGTGCACCCGATACCACTTAAGTTTAATGTTAGATGCAGACCGTTAAAGTTAACAGAATATTCTTGGAATATTCTGTTTTCTAAATTTCTTAATTGGTCCTTCTACTTTTATTATTGTAAAAAATCATTTTGACTTATGAAAAACATCCATTTTTATTATTTAGTTGGTATTCTCTTTTGAAAACTTGATACCAAATTAATTTTTGGATAGAAAATTTAGAATCAACTATCATTATAAGTATTTTCAATTATCATTATATTTTCTAATAATTGAATTATTCTCTAAAGCAAATATATCCTATGAATTCTATTTAGTTGGAATCCTCTTTTGAAGACTTTGATACCAAACCAATTTTTGAATAGGAAATGTAGAATCAATTATCATTATAAGTATTTTCAATTACCATTATATGTTATAATAATCGAATAATTTGCTGAAGAAAATATATATTATGAATTATATATCGATATAAATCATCTGAGAATGTTATATTTAATTCTCGTACATCATGCTGGTGTTGTATAATTTTCCGTGAAACTCGGGTCAGATAGATGAACTATCACCACCCTTCGGTACTGGCTTCCTTGAAGGGTTTTGCACTCTCAAAAAGAAGTCATTTGATTCTGAAGTTCGTCTAGTGTGCGCCCGAGCGGCAAGAGAGGCGTGATAAGTGGAATCAGCTGTCGTAGCCCTTACAAAGAAGACCGACCGATCGATGACGCCATGCGTTCCTAATACGAATTCGTGCCTGCAGCCCTGCTAATCGACAGTTAGAATCATACTCTCTGAGTCTAAGTTCAGTAAATAGAAATCAACGTTTGAACACCTCGTTGGTCGCTGCAAGACAGATACTAAACAAGGGAAGCCTATTGTATCTGTTATATTTAATTCTCGTACATCATGCTGGTGTTGTATAATTTTCTACGTCAAATATCCTTGTAATTTTTTAATATTATATTTTAGATGTTCCATATTAATTAAATTTACTAATTATAATTATCTTCCTACAGTCGTATTTTATTTTCTAGATTTGTTACGAAATGTTGTAGATTTTATTACTAGAATTTTGGTTACGTCCATTCTCTTTTCGTTCCAAATTTTCTAGTACTAATGGAATATTTTTAATTCTTTCTGACTCGATTTCATTTATCCTTCTTTGGTCTTGATGTATTGATGATTGACTTGGTTCTATTTTAACTATTTTTAATAGTACTTCTAATTGGATTAGCAATTTAAATAGATCTTCTAATATTGATTTTAAATATTTATTATTATGTTATATATATTTATTCTTCTTCTTGATATTTTTTTATTATTTTTACTAATTTATCTATTTTATTGTCAATTTTGATTAGTCATTTTAGTAATATTATGTTTAGAAGTTTTTTAATTTCTATATTAGATAAAACTTGTTGAAATATAGTTTTGGATGTTTTTAAAAGTTTTGGGTACCAAAAAGTAATTAAAATTTTGGGTTGGATGGAAAATTAGACGGATGCACATTTTGACGACTTTAATGGTACCCGACGCCCTATTCAAACTTAAGTGGTATGTCTGCCCCAATTCTAATACTTAAGTGTTATTCGATGTATTTTACCCTCATAACTCGCCTTCGGCGGAATACAGTTTCGTGCGGCAGCTGCGTTAAGAAAGGAAGAGCTTGGGGTTCTACCAAAAAAAAAGAAAGTGGAAGAGGTTGGTGACTGCTGTTTCGGTTTCTACTCTGTGAGGCAGCGCGGAGAAGAACGAATTGAGGATCCAGAGAACAAGAATGGGGCTTCAAGAAAAAAAGGAAAACGCAAAAAATGGAGGAAGTTCGAGCAAAGAGCTTTTGCGGCTGGAAAAGGAGGGTTCAGCCATAGCCCGGTCGGCTCGCGAATCTTCACTTCTCTTCTTTGGGAAAGATTCGAGCGTTCATCTATCTAAAGCAGCTCCTTACGATGGGAAACTTACGACTGCTGCAGTTCCTGCCAGCCAAGGTAACGTTACTTTCGAATTCTTCACTTATTAGCAATGCAGTCAAAATCGCGCTTTAAAACTTAAAAACTTACAGTTTTACGCTTCTAGGACACCAAAACGCTTTCGTTTCCATATAAAATCTTAAGTGTATAAAATCGGGACTAAAATGCGCTTTAAAGCTTAAAAACTTACGCTTTTTACGCTTCTGGTTCACTAAAACGCTTTACGCTTTTACGCTTCTAGTTCACTAAAAGAGTATTCTATTCATGAAAATACTTCTATTTTAAAGGTAATCACAAAAAATATGATATATTTGAGATTACAAGATACATATCAAGTACTTGGGTGCATTCTTAGTTTCAATAGAGTAATCTAATTCACCAGCTATGCGCTTCCCAAATTCACTAGCATAGAGGGGAATGTACCTTATTGTTAAGATATATATTTATGAACTTATTGTTAAAATGTTATGAGTTTCTCAACTTTAGACATGAATTACAAGTATTTATTAACTTATCTAAACTATGTTCACTCATATTTTTGTACTTAACACATTTTTTGTTATATTAAAGTATGCGTCAAAAACTTACGTTTTTACGCTTTGATTCTACGCTTTACGATTTTACCCATTTTCCGCTTCTAGGTAGAATCGCGCTTTTGACTGCATTGCTTATTAGAATTCAGTTTCATTGATGGTGGAGTCACCAGGTGAAGGAATGGAAAGGTTCTGTTCTGCGGTATGTGGCGTATATCTTCGTTCTATTTACATGGCTGCGCTGTGGCAGTTTTGACTCCAACGTTATTGTACTGAAACTGATGCTTGGCTTGTGGATTAATTACCATTCTTGGATGAGTCTTCAGCTTGTTTTTTTTGCACCATTGTTGGGATCTTTGTGGTATGTATGGACGTATAAGTTAGTTGCAAGCAAATCCAAGTCCCTATGTTGAACTTCCATTAGAGTTTGGCAGCTCTTTTTATTGATCATTCTGGAAAGGTGACCACCAATTTGAGCTGAATGCTGTTGGTTTGACGGCGGACTGCGTTAGTATATTGCATTCGAGAAGGGTCAGTTCTGCTGTAGGCTATCACTTACTTGACCTCTAGAGAATTAGTGCTGTCACTTACTTGACTTACATTCCCCAAATCTAGACCTTATTTTATCATGCAAGAATTTTCCTCTTGAGCATTTTTTGTTATCAAGTAATGTCCACAAGCGATGGGGGTGGAACTATGGAAGTTTGCATTTTGGTTGCAAGGAAGAACCTGATATACTTTCTCTTTAGGCCTGGTTTGTTTCATGCGGGGTGTGCTGAGGAGTTTTCTGTGGTCTATTGCTCTTTCGATTAATGTCTTCTTTCCATTCATAAAAAGAAACCAAGGTAGTAGTGAAATTTGGGGTTTAATGAACTTGTTTTTAGCTGAATGTTGAAGCTTTATACAATAAGGTGTTAGGCATTGTACTGAACTGCAAATATGTCACTACATTGTCCGGTTTCCAGACTAGTAGGGGACTCGAAATAAAGCCATATACGTTGCAGAGCAAGAAAAAGGTCAGGTTATATGGACATGGGCTGTTTGGTTGATGAAGAACTCCTGGTACCCTATTGGTCCTTCTCTTTTTTATTTCCATGTACCGAAGAACTCCTGGTACCCATAATCTTATATGTAATTATGTTAATGTTTCGTCGTCAGAGTTGATTGGCGGATCACCACCCAGTATTGCAAAGACTACCTATTCTTGCATCTCAGATTGTTTGATAGTTCTGCATCTATTTGATTTTGATCTTTGAGGACGGGAATTCTCAAGTTAAATTATGGGTCACGCTTCACGAATTGTAATGAATGGTCACAGTTTCTACCAGTGGCATGTTTATTAGGAACTCTTTCACTTTGTGGTGTTTCACCCCTCATCTGCTTTTGGTCTGCTAGACTCACTTATCTGATAATTTCACACGCTGTATGTTTTGTTTTCATGTGATGCAGTGCTAGGAAGAGTTAAAGATCTACTGGAACTCATAGCAAAACAGCCAGATCCCAAGGTTTATTCACTTAATGCTGAGGATCCACCTCTTCTCAAGTTTCAAATACAGTATGTCTAACCCATTTCTTGTTTGCCGTTGAATATGTAGGATAATTCCGGGAACTGTGACATTGAAGCACTCACAGGAAACGAATCCGAAGTTATTGAAATGGTACTGTGATATCTGCCTTTTTTTCCATGGTACAACAACTTCAGCTTTTATCTGAATGAAATCATCATGGTGTCTTTTTCCTAGGACTTGATGCTGGGTGTAGCAGAGCTTCACAATGAGCAAGCTGTAGCTGCTGCTGAAGCTGCCCTAGCTGGAGCCCTAACACTGATAACATTGGATGGTAGTAGTAGCAGCGAGTCAGACTCGGAAGATTCAAGCGATGATGAATGTGATACGGAAGGTGTTGATGATCATGATAGTGCAAGAAATGACGATATCAGGAAAGACGCTTCATCAAATGACGCATCAACGTTCAGCAGAGATGGTTCAACTGGTGTTGTCAACAAGAGCCCAAAGAAGCAACCTAAAATTATTCAGATGCTTTGAATCCCATTCCAATAGGTATTGAATTTCGCTTTTTTGACAGTAAGTTTGCAAATATGAATCTTTTGTGCCACCTGGTAACAACACCATCACTTCTAATCATCTTCCTCGACCATTCTGCTAGAAACTTTCTGATCTTTTTCATATCTAAGGGGAAGTAATAAAAAGATCACTCTTGCCGGGAGAGTAGAATATTCCAAAACAACAAGGCACTGCCAGTCTGCCACTAACACGCGATTAAACTTGGGCCAAAATCTAATCAGTTTGCATTTTCATATATTGGGCTTTGGGATTTGGGCTTTGGTCTTGTAATCAAAACTAACTACATAAATATTAGCGGCCCAAGCCCGCAGGTAAGTGAGAAGGGAAAGAAGACGAAGATTGGGCATCTCCATCTTCGTTCTTCACCTAGTTTGCAGATTGCTCTGCACATAGCTTCTACTTTACCAACCCTAGAATCTCTGTGTCTGTCTTAATTCATATTTTACCTGCATAGACCGGCGGTTCGTTGTCTTCCTCAACTGAACTGGACCGAGTTCACGACTCTGTGTTGTATTGTTCTCTTGGCGTGGTGGAGGTCCAACATTAAGCTTCCTTCTTTCAATTGCACGGAGGCTGTTTGTGAAAATGTCTAGCTGAGAGACTGATCCCCATCCCCGCGGGTATCTGAGGACTTTGAAAGATGACGCCGCCGAATTTCAGAACAATTTCGTACAGTGCGAGGCTTGTTTCGAGAAGTAACTACTGGCCGACTTTTATCAGACACTCTTCTGTGTCGACTGGAACAGAGCTTCCCAGGAAGCTAAAAAGATGTGAAAGGAAGCCTTGGGTTACGAGTGTGAATGAGCTCAAGCGGAAAGCGAGGCTAGAGAGGGAAGAGAAACAGTCGGCGCGCGAACAAATTTTGCGACCGCCTGAGAATGGGCTGTTGGTTAAAGAACTGATCCCTGTTGCTCATCAAGTTTATGCTGCCAGAGCTGAATTGTTGGGTTGCGTCTCAAAGGTTGCCAAGAACATAGCTTTATACTCATGCAGGTATGGTTGTTTATTGATGTATAATGTGTGGATTTACCTTGAGAGTTTTCTTTGTGTTTGATACCTACTTCGTTGATGCAGTGTTTGTGGAGAAGCTCATGTAGGCCATACTCCTCACAAAATCAGGACTTGTGATGGAGTGGGCAGCCTGAATAACAAGGAGCACAGATGGATGAAGGGAGGTATTGACCATATTTTGCCCCTGGTCGAATCTTTCCATCTGTATGACAGACTTGGAAGAGCTGTGTCCCATAACGAGCAGCTCATAGTTGACCGGATTCCGGCAGTTGTGGAACTGTGTATCCAAGGTGGTGTCAACATACCAGAGTACCCAACAAGAAGAAGGGTCTTCCCTGCGTATAGTGTTGCTGGTAGAATTATAGATTTCGAGCGCAGGTTCCCCAAAGAAGAAGACACACCAGGAAAAGACATCAATACTAGTGGATTTTGGGAGAAGAGGAAGAACCCAGTTGAGGGGACCGAGTCTGCAGACGCTAATGTTGTCAATTTACGAGGTTTTCCTTTATAGTTCTTGCGTTATTTCTTTATCCTTTGATATTTCCAACCGTCCATGACTCTCCCGGGTTGGGACATGGGTGTATGTTATGTCTCAGATAGGTTAAGCAAAAGTACATCGATATGTTTCCAGAATCCCATATGACATTCATTTACTGCTTCCCTCTCCAGAGGTTGCGATTCGGGGAATGGAATCATGGGAGGTAATGCGATCAGGGATCCAGAAACTAATGAGTAAGTATGCAGTTCATACGTGTGGATATTGCCCTGAAGTTCAAGTTGGTCCCAAGGGTCATAGAGTAAGAAACTGCCAAGCATTCAAGCACCAGATGAGGGATGGTCAGCATGCATGGCAAGAGGCAACTGTTGATGATTTGGCTCCCCCAGTCTATGTATGGCACGTTCGTGATCTCAGTAGTCGCGAGCCACTGGTAAATGATCTGCGGAGGTACTATGGCATGTTGCCCGCTGTGGTGGAACTTTTCGCTCAGGCTGGTGCAAGAGTGAGTGGGGATTACGCTAGTTTGATGAGGGAAGATATTGCAGTGCCTGAACTTGAAGAAATGAAGTTAGCAGTTTGAAGAATTAAGATGAACCTGGAAGGCTTCCGGTGATATCTAAAGCAACATGGTGGGGTATTGGTGCTGGGTTTACTTCACTGGAAGCCACAGCTAGATGCAAGGTTAATTCGCTTTCTGTTAGGGATTACCTCTTTGAAGTTTCAAATAGACTGTCTAATCTGTTTCTCTTTCGTGGTTAAATATTTAATTATTTATAGGATAATTCTAAGATTTATGGTATTGTAGCTCTGACATGAAAAGAATATGAAGTCATAGAACTAGTGAGATATCTATGTCTACCTTTTGACCATGCAGCTTATATCTGAATGAAATCATTGTGGTTTCTCTTTTCTAGGATTTGATGCTAGGTGTAGCAGAGCTCCAGAATCAGCAAGCTGTGCCTGCTGCTGAATCTGCCTTAGTTGCTGTCAACAGTTGTTAACATTGGATGATAGTAGCACTGAGTCAGATTTGGAAGATTCAGGTGACGATAATGGTGTTGGAAGTGATACGAAGGGCCTTGATGATGAGGGTAGGGTGGGAACTGACAATATCAGGAAAGACACTTCATCTAATGCCGCATCGAAGTTCAGCAGAGCTGGTTCAACTGGAGTTGTTAACAGAAGGACGCCAAAGAAGCAACCTAAAATTATTGAGATGCCTTGAAGCTCTTTGTAAGAGGTACTGGTTCGGCTTTTCAGTGTAGGTATATGGTCACAGTAACTTGAAATGATGGATTTGAGGACGGGCGGGGTGAAATCTGGAACCGAGATCTCTGGATGAAACTGCTGCAGCACCAGATGCAGATTGCTTCTAGTTAGTTGCATTCTTCTTCCCTCCATAATGCGAAGGGACAGTTTTAATTTGTAATGATCGTTTCGTCAGTAGGCTTGGTCGTCCATATATTTTTTTGGGTGGGTCTAACCTATTTCTGAACCAAAGGATTTCCGTAGAGGCCATCAAGCGAGAATAAAGGGCTACCACCATTGCCGATAGTCCTCTCTCCGATCTTTGTTCCTATTAAATTATCATTCAGACAATTGATGCCTCTCGAGTAAACCTTTGATGTTACCAAAAGAAAAACCGCACCACAGAATTGTATGATCAGAAGATGGGAAGCCTGTTCTTGAACCAGATGAAGAAGCAAGCATGTTCTTTCCTTCAAGAGAAGTACAAAACTGCAAGGCTGGCTCTCACCGACATCACCCCAATCGAATTGTGAGTTCTGCATCTGCAATTCTGCATTAATTATCACAATAATACTTTTCTTTGTGCTTTTGAATATGATATAATCATAATTACAATGTCGGTCGTCGGTACGTTGGTCAGACTGACTGAGGAAGCAACAAACAACGAACCATGGGGTCCTGATGCTAAAACCATGACTCAAATCGCCGTCGCTTCATTTGGTGTCGATGCTTATTGGAGAATCATCGACATTCTTCACAAACGGTACGTACATCGCCTGATCTTAAATCTGAAAGGGGGTCGAGTTCGAATATATATAACTAACCAGGAACCTACATGCATGTACGAATGTATGTATGGATTCAGGCTGGATACGGTAGACTGGAAGCAATGGAGGCAATCCTACAAGACATTGGTACTTCTGGAGTTCTTAATGACCCATGGCCCTGAGGAACTCGCCTACGAATTCCAGAACGATATCGACATCATCGAAGAGCTTGGCACATTCCAGTTCATTGACGACAAAGGGTAAATTAAATTCCTCTGCATGACTCTTACTTTTTTTTCCTTTCAAAATGGTGAATGATTGATACGTACGTATGAATGTCACGTACAGATTCGACTGGGGAGCGAACATGCACAAGAGATCCGAGAGCATTCTCGGCCTGCTCCGCGGCGGCGGGACCGCCCTCAGAGCAGCTCGCCTCAAAGCCCTGAAGATCTCCAAGGAAATCCAAGGGTTTGGCAGCTCCACTCCTTCTTCCGCCGCCGCCTCCTCCTCTCCGACGTCTCCCGCTGCCACGGCCACCCCGTCCTCCGCCGTCTCCAATTCCTCCTTCGCCTCTGCGGGCTCCACGTTCGAGGACATCTGCCGCATCGAGAACCTCGCCCTCGCCGAGGATCTTGACCAGCTGAACGACCCCGCAGCAGCTGAATCACCCACACTTCATAACGATCATAACAACAGTGATGATACTAATCATAATGATCATCAACCGGTGAAGACTCTGCGATTGCGGACCCACCGCTGGGAATACGGCTATCCAGTTCAGGAAAAGGGCTCTCTTTTGGACGTTGGTGATGATGAGGTCGAAGATCGTAAGCCGTCCGATCAACAAGGGCTTGTTGGCAGGTTTTGCGACAAGATGATGACCACTTCTCCCAAGAAGAACAAGGACTACGGTGAGAAGAATGGTTACCATAACAACGGCAACGACTTCAGGAGCTTTTCTGATGTGGGCAAGTTCTTGAAGAAAAGATACGAGCGCCAATTTTCTATGGGGTATTGATTAATAACATCTACATGCGTTTTTCAGCCAGGTTATATATATGGATGGAGAAGTTATGGAATGTTTTCTGTACAATGGTATGAACATGATCAGTCACTAGAACGAGCTCTTAGATCAGTTGATTATAATGCTATTGTGAGTAACATTGTGTTGAGGTTTTGTATGAGTACGTACGTAGGAAAGAGATATATATAGTAGAAGGGCTTTGAATGCTTGTAATTGATTTATGTATCATGTGTGAACAACCCTTAAACGTCACAGCAACAACAACATAATAATAACAGTATGACAGCAACAAAAACAGTGTAAGCCAACATGATCTTGTTCCACTTTCTCGTATGAAAATAGCAATAGCATATCTATCTATTATTGTCATATACGTCTTAGGGTTGAGGCAAAGAAACAAGTCTCTGATTCCTTCTCCGAAACTGCTGCAGCCAATCCCATAGCTATACTGATACCAAACTCCTTTGTACAAACGCAACCCATTTTTCTGTCACTGGCCTTTCAAGTTTCCCTGCAACACTTATCTAACTTGCAATCATTCTCCCAATTCTAAACTTACGATCTATGGTGGAATCGTATTCTTCAGAAATCCTTCTGTTTCTTTCCAACCGTACACTCCGACACGTAGCATGAAGCACAACGCTCCAACATGTTGGAATTTGGTGCAACTGGGTTGGGTAAGAATTAATTAATTATCAGACTGGTTGGAACACCTGTTATCACACGTTGCATGGCAAAGCTTTGGCATGGCAGATTGGCAGTTAGCCATGAAAGCAATGATTCATTAGTTCAAATTAATAGCATTTCACTTAGCCATGAGAGCAACGTGTTGTTAATTTTAAAGTTAATGGACTAAAACTGCAATGAATTTGAAATGGAGAAACATATTCGTCCATTACACGGTGGCAGTTTTGCATTAGCTTTGAAATGAACGAATTTATACGTCCCTCGGGTAATAGGATGCCCCTCTCCATTTCTCCATGCAGGACATGTGGGGAAAAAATGTGATTTTGTGTATTGAATTAGGCGGAACAATAAAGAAGATTCATTCTCTCAACTTTTTTGCATTGAGAAGGTACTTGCGAAAATTCCATAGTAGAAATTGTCGTGATTTAAAGACCCCAATGGATATAAGTATGAAAATTATGGTTAATACCGGAAATCAGTTTTACAACTGGAGTATTCCATGTTAAATGAAGGGCTCAATGTATACATGACTTGCATGATGCTAGATATCGCATATGCGATAGAGCAATTAAGTCGGTACATGATGAATCCTAATACTCATCATTTGAAATGAAATGAGGCGTGTACTAAGATATCTCAAAGGCACATTGTATGACTTATAGTGGCTTTCCTTCCATTTTGGAAGGATTTGTTGATGTTAGTAGGATTTCTTATGTTAAAGGTGATACTTCAACATCGAGATGGGTCCTCCTGCCTCGGGGAGGTGCCATATTTTGTAGGGGTGGGAAACGGTGCGGTTGCGGTTAACTGCACCGCAATTTGCGGTTAACTGCAACCGCAAAACACCCATATTGGCCAACCGCGACCGCGACCGCAACGGTTAGCGGTTAACCAAAAACCGCAGAAAGCGGTTAGCGGTGAACCGCGGTTTATGGTTGTGAAAACCGCAACAACCGAAACACCATATGAAACCGCAGTTAGCACTCTAACCGACAATTAACCGCGAACTAACCGCAAAAAAATCATGGAAAAAAAACACAGCAGCTACTGTTTTGTCTATTTTCACTTCCATCAAGCCTCTACATCTGTCTGCATATCCAAATAACACAATCCACAAGCACAAATGCACAATGCCACAATCCTGCTGGCTGGGCTGGGGTCAATTATGGGCTGGGCTGGGGGTGAATTATGGGCTGGGTCTGGTTTCGTGGTTAGCTTTGCGGTTATATGGATTTGCGGTTTCGGTTGCGGTTAAACCGCAAACCGCAAAACAGGCCATATCTCCAACCGCGACCGCAAAATAGGCCAAATATGCGGTTTGCGGTTAACCAATAACCGCGCGGTTTCGGTGCGGTTGTCGGTTTAACCGCAAACCGCCAACCGTTTTCCCAGTCCTAATATTTTGGGCCTCTGGAAAGCAAACTTGCATCACTAGTTCCACTATGGGTCAAAGTTGTGACCTTGATTTCTCTTAGAAAAGAGGCATTATTGTTGAGTGGCCAAAACTAATCTCACCTATTATTATTCTTAGTGATAGTAATGCTAATTTGGCTAAGACATATAGCCAAGTGAAAATGATAAGTATGATCATGTGGGAGTTAGGCACTGTAAAATCTGTGAATTGATCACTCATAGAGTTGTGTCTATGTAATGTGACCAGACTTGAGATAATTTAGTTGATCATTTAACAAAATGGTTAACGAGTGACTTGGTGATCAAGTATGTGAAAGGGATGGATTTAAAGTCCATATAATTTCTGATAATGTCTTTAGAGGCTGAATTCAATGTGGAAAGCTCATTGTTAGAAATTGAAGCACAAAATTTGTCATCCCGAGGAATGTGCTTGTTATCCTGCATGAGAGAAGAGGATGAAGTTTAAAACTTATTAATTGAATCTTTGACAAAGTGTATTATGTGGGTACACGAATAAAACATTCAGCCTACGTAAGCATGAAGTGTAGCTGCTTCAAGAAACCCGAACTTTGGTTTCGAGTGCGCTTATGAGAAGGATTGGACACATGGCGGATAATAGTGTCAAGGTCACTTAGAAGTTTTGGAAACTTGAGTGTATTTTATCTTCAAATATCTATTTGAGTAGTTGGGTTCAATCGTTATTGACACCCATATATTCGGATATTCGCCAAGAGTAATATACTAAGATAAAAATTCAATCGTCACGGCATTTTCATTTATGCTTAAGTTTTGTTGGAAGAATATTATAATTTTAGTGAATTTTTAAATACACTAAAATGGGGAGGAATGTTGGAATTTGGTGCAACTGGGTTTGGTAAGAATTAATTAATCAGATCGGTTGGAACACCTATTATCACACGTTGCAGGCTGTTAGCCATGAAAGCAATGATTCATTAGTTCATAATTAATAGCATATCACTTAGACATTAAAGTAACATGTTGTTAATTTTAAAGTTAATGGACAAAACCTACCATGAATTTGAAATGGAGAAACATATACGTCCATTACATGGTGGCAGTTTTGCCTTAGCTTTAAAATGAACGAATATATACGTCCCTTGGGTAATTGGATGCCCCCTTCAATTCTAATAGTCCGCCAATCTTGAAACGTTACATCATTTCGGATATGGCGAAAATAAGGTTGGAATCTATAAATAGATGGGATTGGCTGGTGGGAAGGACAAACCAAAATTCATTCTTCTATGAAACTTCTAGAATCTTTAGGTAAATTACTCATACTCCTATATAAGCATAACGATAAACTGGTTTTATTTTTCTTCTTGTCTATAAAACTGAACCACAAAGAACATATATATATATATAGGAAAACACCCAAAAATCCTAAACTGAATCCTTACCCATTCGGCCAACCCCTTACTTGACCTTTACTCCACAAAGACCTTACTATAATTATCTACCCCAAAACACCCCATAACAATAATAATCCCCTCCCAATTCGGCTAACAATAGCCGATTTCCCCATAACAATAATAATAATAATAATAATAATTAATATTAATAATCTATCACCCATCATATTCATTGACATTAAGCATACAGTGTTTGAGATGTTGTCAAATTTGTCGGCCAGCTGGTCTCTTTACATAACTACATTGAAGGAAAATATGATTAACATCTTCCTCGCCTGCTAGGTACTTTCCATCTTCTTATCTTTAACGAATCATGTGCCAGAATTTTCTTCTTGTACACTGGTCACATGAAGTTAGAGATCTTGGATGAGACTTGTTGCAGCCAAATTGTCTTGTACGTGAAACCTTCATCTTCGTGTTGTGAATATTTTACCTCCACAGGGCCCTTATATAGTGATTGAACTGTAAAGCCACTTATTTAAGAGGCTGCCAAATTAATCTTGGTGATCCTCCAAAAGACAATGATCCATAGATAATAGGCAGTAAGTTTAATAAACTCTCCCCTTCCCTCTCAGCACCACCTCTTAAATTAATCTTTAGAGGTATACTCCCAAGAAGAACTCTCATTCTACAGATAGAAATTTTGAGCAATAGAAGCTCTTGGAAATTCGGCAGCAACAAACACCCGGGGAAAAGCTTCAGGTACATTAACACATTTTATCCACCTATCAGACCATAGAGACATCCAAGTTCCAAACATGGTTCAATGTGAGTATAATTCCATAGCAAGTTATATAGCTTCCTATATGTGGACATGGGTTGCAACCCATAGTGCCTTTAAACTTCCACCAACACAATTAGATTGTGGATTAGGAAACTTCAAATATGTAAGCTTTCGCCATCAATAATCTCTTTTTGATGTGAACCCCCCATATCTATTTGTACAACAAAGTTTGATGCTGCCAATGAAAGTCTTTGACTTCAAGTCCTCCTAGTTCTTTGTGCGCTTTACAAACTTCCCATACCACAATGCGAGTCTTCAGCTCCTCCCTTGTTCCTGACCAAATGAATATCCGTAGTAGTCTTTCGAGGCATGATGTTACTCCTTTTGTGGCATTGAAAAGGCAGCAGATATACGATGGTGCTGTTAAACAACTACTGACGAGTGTGACTCTGCCTCCCAAGGATAAGTGCCTTCATGTCCAACCTCCTAATCACTATTGCAGCCCATGAATAATTGGGATCCCAAGGGTACTCTTAGGTAACAGCAGGTAGGAATTTCCACTTACACAAAATACTTTTGACAATCTCTCGATTTCATGTGCCTCTCCAATAGGAAACAATTTACTCTTTTCAAGATTGACCTTCAGCCGCATGACACTTTGAAAACAATCCAAAAATGTCAATACATTCCTCACAAGTTCCTCTGTTGGTTTAGAGAAAATTATTGCATCATCCACATACAACAAGTGTGTCACCTCTCCTTGTTTTATTTCCTCATCCTTGAAGAAACCCGAGATGTCACCTATCTTCCCTACCTTGGTTAGCTTGTGTGACAACAGGTCCATCACCAAGTTGAAAAGGAAGGGTGACAATGAGCCACCTTGCTTTACCCCCCTCTCCATGTTGAAAAAATTATAAGCTTCGCTAATTACTAATATTGACAATTTAGTCGCCGTTCAACTCATTTGATCCACCTTCTCAGTTTCAAATTTCATCCATATACCTGAAAATCTTGTTAACACACTTCCAACTCAT